TGAAGGGAAGTTTTCTTTTCTGCAGTTCTCTTACTGCACATAACTGTGGCATTTTGCTTTTAGCACTATTGTTTCTTTCCTCTTACATTCTGGGAAGTTTTTACCTCTGCACATAAGTCTGAGAATGTTCTGAACAGTTCCCATTGAGTTCATGAAACAGTGTATCCTGACCTGTTCTTAATGCATTGCTGACCACATTTACGGAACGTGATTGTTGTATTCTTTCATGTTATGTTCTCTCAATATCAATCTTTAGTTATAATTTAATTAGGAGGTTTCATGCCTGTCTAGTTCCAGCTCCGTTCCCAGTCTTTTGAACTATCAGTGATTAATGTAAAATGTAATGCCCGCCTTGTACCTATGTTAACCAATCAGCAACAAGATGCTTTGTGTTTGTATCAGCCAATCAGCCACAAGCACACCTGTGGCAATGTTTGTAATATTCAATAAAGAGAGTTCCCGGGACTTGCCCCGGGCAGACGTCTCTCCTTTGACACCCACCATTCGTCTGTCGTGATTTCAACCCAACATCTGGTGACCCCTGACGTGCCAGATCCCTTACGCAGCCAAACCTCATACTTCACCCGACTGGAAAAGTCTCAGCGCGCTACTTCGTGAGTATGGGAGGGACTTGACTAAGCTCCAGAAAGAGCATGCTAAAGAGTTGCTTTATTTAGTTAGACAGCGGGAGGTGGGTGTTAATATTTCCTTAAAAGAAATTGAACAATTGCTATGTGAGATAAATTGCCAATGCGTCTTTTTGCAGAACCTAGGGCTCCGATTCATTGTCTGCTCACTTGGCAGAAATGTGCTGATGCCGTTGCTAAATTAGGGCCCCAATTGGGACCCCAGGCGTCTCCTCTTCTGGCCATTGCAGACAATCCCCCACCCTACCCGAAACTTTTACCTCCTTCTCCCAGCCAATCCCTCCCTGCGTCTCACCCTCCTCAGCCTGCATCCTCCCCCCCCATCCCTCCGCCTCAGCCTGATTCCTCCCCCCCCATCCCTCCTCCTCCTGCCACAGCCCCTGTTTGCTCTATAGGAGCTGTGCGTGCTGCGCTCTCTCTGGCAAGGCAAAAGGGCTCCTGTCCTTAGAGGAGGAGTCTGAGTGGCCAGGTGAAATGCCGTCTGCTTTCCCTATCTCTTATTCAAACCCTGGAACTGCTCAACAGCAGATTTATTATGAATCGCTTCCTTATTCTGTAATGAGGGAATTAAGGAAAGCCATTGCTGATTCTGGTCTGAAATCCTCTTATGTGACAGGGATGCTAGAAGGCATAGCAACTGGTTACATTATGCTACCTCAGGACTGGAAAGACCTGATGCGCATGCTTGTCCCCTGCTCAGTATGTGGTGTTTGAGAGTGAATTTAAACATAGCGCTTCAGCCCTGTCTGATCCTCAACATACTGCCAATGAACTTTATGGTGCTGGTCAGTTTGCTGATATAACTGCCCAAGCAACACTGACACCTGTACATTTTGTTCGCACCGCGACCTGTGTACAACGCGCCTTTCGGAAAGTCCCTGTTTCTGGGCAACCGCTGAGCTCCTTTGTAAATATTAAGCAACAGCATTCGGAGCCATACCATCAGTTTATAGAGAAACGCACGCAGAAAATTGCCAAACGTGAGTGGCAACATAATCGCTGGCAGGCCTTGATTACTGCTTCAAAATCACATAGATCCAGGGAATTCTGGTCTCTGATTAACAGAAGGGTGAGGAAATACCCAAGGGCAGTCATCCCTGCACCGACATGGGAATTGTTCCTGAAGAAATGTTTCTCACAGGCAGATGCTCCCTCCGACCATCTGATGCATCTGTTCTCCCACCTACCTATTTGGCCTCCCACCGATCCTGACGAAATAGCCAAGCTAATAGCCCAGCTGAAATTGGGCAAAGCCCCAGGGCCCGACCTGATCCCTGCTGAAGCCATCAAACTACACCCAAAATGGTGGGCTGGCATCTTGGCCAAAACCTTCGACGCAATCAACGCTTCTGGTATCATCCCCAAAATATGGAAGGAGGCCATTATAGTACCAATTCATAAAAAGGTTCTCCAATGGAGCCGGAAAATTACCGTAACATCAGCCTCCTTTCGATCATAGGGAAAATTTATGCCAGCTTTTTGCTGACGAAACTATCGCGATGGGTAGATGAGACTAACCAGATTGGCCACGAACAAGCAGGGTTCAGAATTAAACGCTCTACAACTGATCATGCGATAGTTCTTTACCATCTGGCACGGAAGTACTCCTCCCCTCCCGGGGCTATCTGTGTGCTGCCTTCTTAGATCTTAAGGCAGCCTTCGACAGCGTTCCTAGAAATATTCTTTGGGAGAAACTTGCGAAACAGGGCATCGATAGAAGGCTCTTATGGCTTATAAGTCAGCTCCACGAAGGTAACCTTGCCAGAGTGAGACTTACTCCTGCGGGCGACCTCACAAATTCGATACCAATAAACAAGGGAGTGCGCCAAGGATGTATATTGGCCCCCTGCCTATTCAATCTATTCATCAGCGACATGCGAGCACCCCTAGTCAACTCATCTCCAAGTACACATGCGCCTAGACTAGCGGATTACCGCTGTCCACTCCTTTTATATGCGGACGACGCGGTAATTCTATCTTATACACGTGTTGGACTAACCAGAGCTCTGAAGATCTTTGCCACGTATTGTCAACTCAACCAATTAACCATCAATCATGCTAAATCTAAGATTCTGATTTTCGCCAGAAGTCGGAGATTATACGAATGGAAGCTTGGTGGAGCAAAAATAGAGCAAGTCCTAAAATTTCAATACCTAGGAGTTATTTTTCAATACAATTTGGGGTGGAAAGCACATATTCAACACCTACTTAATAAGGCCAAAACTCTGTCATATGCGCTCCTCCGATTTTTCTTTTCGGATGGAGCTTTGCATGTTCCCTCGGCCCTAAAGGTGTTCAAGGCAAAAGTGGTTCCCGTGCTTGCTTATGCTGCCCCGCTCTGGGTCGTGATGACAGACCTTGCTCCTCTTGAGACTTTGCAAAACCAATTCCTACGTCGGCTCCTAATGCTCCCCCTGTGCGTAAGCAACGCAGCCATGCGTTTAGAATTGAGGATCGCATCCTTAGAAACCTGCCTGTGGAAGCAAGTCTTCAATTATTGGTTATCATTGTGGCATAGATTACCAGACCATTACCTTGCCCAATGCTTATGGCGAGATGAATTCCCCAGCCTTTGGACCAGTAGAATTCATGCCAAACTCCTGAGCTATGGAATCTCTCCCTTAGATTCCCTAAAACTAGATCAAATCACTGCTCAAAGACTGATCCGCCAAAGACTGGATGACATCGATTTACAGCAAAATTATATGCTGGGGGGAGGTGTTTGTTCGCCCCAGAACATTGGTATCACTTTAACTTATTGCGTTCCATCATACCTCTCCTCCCTTTCGACTGTTGCCCATAGGCTGGCCTTCACCAAAGCGAGGTTTAATGTTTTCCCTCCAATGTCCTGAGACATAGATTCTCAAAGGGCCAAACCTCCGCCATGTGCGAATGTGATAAGGAGATGCCGGAGTCGCTTCAGCACATTATGTTCACTTGCCCCTTATTTAAGGTGCCACGGGCAAACTTGTTGGGATCAATCATACAGAAATTAGAGGGTACTCCACCAAAATTCCACCTTGCCCAAATCTTGCAGGATAAGGATGCCCATACGACCCTGAAAGTGGCTAGGTTCCTGGTCGCTGTCCTTACCCAAAAGCGTCGCCAAGGAGCACCACAAGCTAATTAAGGCGTAGTATGCCATTCCATCTTATAGTAGCTTATTGTTATAGTATTGTTTTAGCGGCTGTTTTTTTCCCATGTGCACAGGCTGTTATTTATGTCTTGTTTTTATCTGTATGGGCCTACGGCCGTAATAAATTATTATTATTATTATTATTATTATCCATCAGTTTATAGATAGATTGAAAGAATCAGTCACTAGGCAGATTGATAACACCACTGCTCAAAATGAATTGATGAAAAAATTGGCCTTTGAAAACGCAAACACTGATTGCAAGAAAGCTTTGCAGTCAATCATACATCGCCCTAAATATGAACTGGCCGATATGATTCAAGCTTGTGCGGATGTCGGTAGCCAGAGCCATGCGATGTCCTTGCTTGCCGGCGCAATCCAAGCAACCACTAAGCCTACTGGTAACTGCTTCAATTGCAAGCGCCCAGGCCATTTTGCCAAGCAATGCACAGCCCCTGGCGGGGGGACAAACAAGGATGGTGCTGCCTCTAAGGCTAAACCTTCTGAATTTGCCATTGATTTGATCAATCAGGAGACCAGAGACTCTGTTCTACCTGGTGAAATTGTGCTTATGCCCACTCAATTGGCAGGTCCCCTGCCTCCTAAGGTCGCAGGTTTAATTTTACCCAAATTTTCTGCGGCAAAGGAAGGAATCCAGGTTATTCCTGGAGTTCTGGATCCTGACTATGTAGGCACAATAATGGTTCAACTCTGGAGCCATATGCCCATGAAATTAAAAAGGGTGAGTCTTGGGCGCATTTGGTGGTGCTCCCTTCTCATCCTACTGCTTCTATTATGGATACTAATTTGCACGAGCTCTCTTCTTTCCCTCCACAGCTGTTAGCTGTAGTCCAGAGGATTGGTGAGAAGAAACTTCTTCGTAAGTATAAAATCAATGGTATTGTGCTGGAAGGCTTGATTGACACAGGCGCAGACGTTTCTGTAATTTCTAGTAGTTCCTCGGACCCCACCTGGCCCCTACAGTCTGCTTCTCCAGTCTGGGGTGTGGGTGACCCCAAACCTCTTCCAAAAGCGTACAGTGGCTGCCTATTTCTCTGCCTGATAGCTCTGAAACCATTGCTTACATCCAGCCCTGTGTGCTGAAAATCCACCTCAATCTGTGGGAAGAGACTTGCTACAACAATTACAAGCTACCATTCAATTTAATGAGTAAGCTTGCACTTCCCCTCAACTGGAAATCTTCTGGTCGTGTCCTGGCTATACGTTTAATTACATTCCAGCAATACATCAGCCATGGCACACCTTGCTGTTTAAGCCGTTTGTCCATCATTTTATCGCTGCAATACTGAACTGACTAATGATTGTGATGCTTTTGTCTCTCTTCTCAGTAGGTCTGAATATATCTCTTTAGCTGTTTCTCTCTTAGGAGTCCCTGGATTGGCTGTACGGAATCGTGTGAACATTACTTCTTTAGCTTGTTATGCAGCAAAAACTCTGAATTATATTTCACAAGCCCTTCACCTTTTGAATAAAGAACAGTGCACTCCACAATGGACTTTTACAAAATCCTTTTACAAAATGGACTTTTTACATTATATAACCCCCTTTTGAATAAAGAACAGTGAACTATATAATGGACTTTTACGAAATCGTGCTATAGATTATTTGCTGATGCTTCATCATTATGGCTGTGAACAAGTGAATGACATGTGTTGCTTCAATATTACTGACAATTCAAGAGCCATTCAAAGCCAAATCTCTCATTTGCAAAATCTTACACATCACATTAAACAGGACATTGGTTTTCCTGGCCTCTGGGATTACACATTAAACAGGACATTGGTTTTTCTGGCCTCTGGGATTCTTTCACCCAGTGGCTTACTGCTTGGTTGCCTAACCTTACTTGGCTTCGTAGTCTCTTTCAATATGCTATTTTCATAATTTCCATTTTTATTTTACTATGCTGTTTCCTCCAATGCATTCCCAGCCTCATGAGTCTTTTCTCTCGGCTTCTCTCCCCCCCTCCACCACCCAGCAAACTGCTTGCTGCTTACATTGCGAAATGGCAACACCAACAGTAAACCTTAGGGGAGATGTGGGCGGATTTATTTTGGGCATGCGCTGGCAAACCACGTATCCTGAAGTACTTTTGTCCCATCAACCCTGGCAGGCTTATTTCGGGCATTCGCTGGCACACCACTAATCCCGAAGTATTTTTGCCTTCTCCACCTGGAATGCCTCGCAAACAAGAAAAGAAAGGGGAGATGAAGGGAAGTTTTCTTTTCTGCAGTTCTCTTACTGCACATAACTGTGGCATTTTGCTTTTAGCACTATTGTTTCTTTCCTCTTACATTCTGGGAAGTTTTACCTCTGCACATAAGTCTGAGAATGTTCTGAACAGTTCCCATTGAGTTCATGAAACAGTGTATCCTGACCTGTTCTTAATGCATTGCTGACCACATTTACGGAACGTGATTGTTGTATTCCTTCATGTTATGTTCTCTCAATATCAATCTTTAGTTATAATTTAATTAGGAGGTTTCATGCCTGTCTAGTTCCAGCTCCGTTCCCAGTCTTTTGAACTATCAGTGATTAATGTAAAATGTAATGCCCGCCTTGTACCTATGTTAACCAATCAGCAACAAGATGCTTTGTGTTTGTATCAGCCAATCAGCCACAAGCACACCTGTGGCAATGTTTGTAATATTCAATAAAAGAGAGTTCCCGGGACTTGCCCCGGGCAGACGTCTCTCCTTTGACACCCACCATTCGTCTGTCGTGATTTCAACCCAACAACTGAGGGCAGAAATTTGGTATGGATTCTATGATGTAAGACTTAGAGAGACAAAATCAGCCTCTAAGCGTGATCCAGCTCTGGAGTTGAGTGATATTTCATTTTTGTGGGCAGACATGATTGCTCAGCTCAGTGAAAAACAAATCCCTGGAAAGAGGTTGGTTTATTCAGTTGAAACCTTGTGATAATCTGGATCGTTTTACATCTCCCTCAACTTCCATTCATCTTAGTGAACAAGAAGAGGGCCTAATTTCCCAGTATGAGAAGATAAATACATTTACCTAAAGTAACTAAAGATGCGGGGAGGGCATTTAAAATGGACAGAATCCATACCCTGATTTTAAATAAAAATCCCAAAACCAAAAGCACCTCTTTGAATATTTCCCATAATCTGACTCATTAAACCACCCAGTGTCTCAAAACCTCTGTGCTGGGAAGAGATGATCATAATTCACGTGTGTCAGAGCATAGGTTTTATGCTCATATAGGATCAGGAACGGTTGGGAATTAGTTCACATAAAAGATGTTTTAGTTTTATACAATAAAATTGGCTGTTGAAATAAATCCTCAAAAACGAAGTCATGCCTCATTCTTTATGTGAGTACAAGGCCAACATGAGATGGGGTCAACTGAATTTGGGGAGGGAATGCATCAAACACTCATACCGCAATTCCAGTGGCATTTCTATTGCTGTCATATCGAATGAAATATGTGTAAGAGTCAAATAAAGAGATTGCTCTGTATTTTAATTTATTTTTTCTTCCTTATCATTTGGTCTCTGCTATTCAGCTCAGGCCTTAGCACAATAATGTAGCATTTGGGGGTAAAGATGCAACCCAGTAGTCCAGCACTGGAGGCCAAGATGGAGAAGATCTCCACAGCCACCATGTATTTCCCTTTGGTGCTCAAGTAGGTTGGCACAAAGGACAACCAAACACTGCAAAACACCAACATGCTGAAAGTGATAAATTTGGCCTCATTGAAACTGTCAGGGAGTTTCCTGGAAAAGAAAGCTACTATGAAGCTGGCGGTGGCCAGAGAGCCCATGTAGCCTAAGACAGAGTAAAACATGGAAGCTGAACCCTCGTTGCATTCAAGTATGATTTCCCCAATCACTGAATGCGTGTCCTTATCTGGAAATGGTGGAGAAGTACTTAACCAAAGAGCACAAGTGGCAGCTTGGATGAAGCAGCAGAAGAAGACAATTGAATTGGTCAGTCCTTTCCCCACCCATTTCCTTATGCTGGATCCTGGTTTGGTGGCCATAAATGCCACAACCACAGTGACCGTCTTTGCCAACACAGTGGAAATGGCCAAAGAGAAGACAAGGCCAAAAGCCATTTGTCGGAGAAGACAGATCACCCTTCCAGGCTGTCCAATGAAAAGCAAGGAGCACAGGAAGCAAAGGAGGAGGGAGATGAGAAGGATGTAGGTGAGGGTCCGGTTGTTGGCTTTGACTATGGGAGTATCCTTGTGCTTCAGGAAAATGCCAAGTACTAAAGTTGTGATGAGAGAGAGAAATAGCCAACACCACTAAGATGATCCCCAGATTTTCTTTGTAAGAGAGGAAGCTCACAATCCTGGGAACACATTGAGTTTGGTCCTTGTTGGGATATTGGTCCTCTGGACAATTGACGCAAGCGTCTATGTCTGAAAAGGGAAGAGGTGCTTAAGTATTTCAGAATGTTGACCAACATCTAACTAAACACAAACAGCTATTTAAGTACCCCTTTACACTAGGCCATCCAAAAGCAATCAGCCACAAGAAGATTTGAGGATGTCTATTTTTGTGTTCCTGCAGTTCTTTGACAAAATCCAGGAGAAGTGAATCTCATAGAAAGTTTGTATAAAAAGTAGCCCACGGTAGAAGTTAAAACTCACCTTAGTTGCTCCCTCCACTTTTGCCTCAGGACCCACCAATTACTTCTAGAAAGTTGCACAGAACAGGATGAGGCCCTGAGGATGCAAAATGTTTCTAACCCCATGTTTAGAGTGGGCAGTAACCAGGAGATGACCTTTTCAGTACCTGGGAAATTGCTGGAAACCGAGGGGCACTTTACTCATTTTCCCATCTCAGATAGACTTCTAATCACCCATCCATCCATTCATCTACATTTAGTTATTACATTTACTACATTTATATCCAAGGAACTACAAGTGGCATACTTGGTTTGCTCCACTTTATCTTCACAATGTCCCACAAGTTGTGTAGGCGGCAAAATTGTGATCGGTCTAATGTAGGGCTGCCATACGTCCAGGTTTTCCCTGACAGATCTGGGAATCGGGCTGCAAAGTGGCATTCAGGTGGATTTTTGCTGACTCGGCAAAATATTTGGGAAAACCCGGATGTATGGCAAGTAGAGTGATTTTTTTTTAAAAAAAATCATTTAA